CAAACTCAATTGAAGATATTGGCGAGCTTCTCTTATTTTTCCCTGAATAAATGCATGGTGTAGATATAAAATATACGGACCAATGAATTTTCTAGGAAGGAGAGTCTGATCTACAATTTTTTCTAGAGTCGTAAATAATGAAATCGATACATTGAGACCGCCAAGCCTATCGATTTGATTTTCAAATAATTTATGCAGGTCTTCGTTGACTGTCTTGAATGCCTCACCGAATGTAGGGTCACTAATCTGTGCTGAATATGTAACAGCTGCGTTTCCATGCGCTATTCGCATAATCTTGAATACAATGTCTGTGGGGGGCCCTACATTACTAATAGAACCTGCGCCTACCTGATTGCTACATGCATGTGCGCCAATTTCAAATTTGGCACCACACAGACTGCAATTGTGTAAGCATAGGTGGCGCTGTACCTCTGAATATCGATAAAACCGTTGATTTTTACATAATTTATATGTACATACATATCGTCTAAGAACAGGTCTACGTCTATCTTCTGGACGTGCCGACCAGCGCAATTCTGTAGCTATTTCCTGAGACATGTCTCTTGGTAAGGGTCGGTAGTAATATGTGACTACCGGAATTTAAAAATTGATGCATTTACGCATCCAATCTAATAAAATATTAAACCCGTCTCTGCTAATTCAATATGAACTGGCGCATGGATGCGCGATTCAAGATTTGCACATGCAAAATTAAACGAGAAAAAATAATGGAGTGTCTGACCGTTATTTGATGCCGAAACGTGACCGGTGGGCGCAACGAGTCGATGTTTCACCCTTTGCAAAGTATTGGCAAATGGCCCACAGAGGGCTGGATTGCCCGTCCCCCATGACCGTCAAAAATAGTTGTCTATATACTACTCACTGAATTATTCACACTAGTTACAATTTCTTGTTTTTGTTGCGTTTTGTTGGAAAATATTGCGAACTTTAGTATAGCTTTTTTGACGTCGGATAGGAAACTTTATATTCCTCCTCCGTTCTACTAAAGATGAGTCTGGTTGCAATGTGATCGTACATTGTGATAATTTTGCAAGCTCGGTCGCTCTTTTATACGGTGTTAACGAAGGAAATGATGGAGGGAAAGATTCCCTCCAATATTCACAAAGGATGAAGAAATGGATGGGAAATTGCGCAGCGGTTTTTTGCACGTGGGATCACATTTCACTTGTTGCACAATATATATGACGCACGAAACCAATTCCCTCCAAAGTGAGCACATGTTTCCACTCTTTCAAAACCGCATATGAATTAACATCTTGCGTAATAAAGTTTGCACAATAAAACTTGGAGGGAAATAATTCCCTCTAAAATACACAAAGAGAGAAGAAAGACAGCTGCTGAATTTTTGCACACTTGTCACCATTAAATTACCATCATCACCAGTATATATTACGTGGTGTCGTGTTGCATGGAAAACGACATTAGCAGTACATTTGATAAATGTGCATGGTCAAGGCATGGTAACCACCACCATGCGAAGCGAGAAAAAAGGTTGATTCCTCGCTTGCTACAACGTAATACATACATACATAGCCACCACCATGTGGAGAGAGAGATACGATATTTATCCGAGTTTTCCAACTCGCTCGCACGCTCTTTCACACCACTGCTTTACTTTGCATACGTCTGCAACCCCCAGGTCAAAAGGACGCTATGAAAAAGCGACCTCAGATAAACCAATCACGTAGCTCCTGCTACACGTAGCTCCTCCCAAAATTCAAAATAGATCCATACTCGTTCCTACTAATTTCATGGAAAAATTCAAAAGCAAAAATAACGCTAAATATTCGCAATGAAAATTAGAAAGTAAAATACAGATTTTCCTATTAAAAAAACTGTTTTTGTCAATAGTTTAAATTTTGTCTTTCGTAAAATTCAATTTGAGTCAATTTTCTTTGATAAACTTTTAGTTGTATTAAATTTGGCGAAGTTTAAGCATAATCTGAAGGAAATCAGAGCAAGATACCGGGAAAGGTTCCTACGTAAGCTGGTCAACTCAATAGTACGAAGAATCGCAATAATACTAATTCTAATAATAATATCTCTGTAATTGCGGCCAAATTCCCCTATAGTCCTTATTAATTAAGGACTTGATTAGAATGGCTTCACTTTTGCGGCTTAAGATTCACGGTATAAGTTGTTTTAGATTGATTTATTAGAAAAGTAAAATAATTTTGATATAAAGTACTTTTGCAAGATGAACAAAACAAAATCCATGGTTTAAGGGAAAAAATCAAACAATTTCAGTAAACACGAGTTTTGAATACAGATGAGAACGTCTTGCCAAAAAGGTGCCTTATTTCTGCTGAGTGAGCGTAAGAATGATACTTTTTCGCTCGATAAATATGTCACGTAAACGATACAAATACATACTTGTGCTTCTAAGTTTAATTAATACCTGCAGTTTTTTTTAAATAAATTGATAGTATCGGTAATACTTGTATTACTGAAGGTCCCAATACCGGATACCAGTTTTAGAAAGAGGGTCCGGTATTGCATTCCCTAATGCATACATTTCCATTAGCTAAATACCTAAATATGATTAATAAATACTCTCACCAATAAATTATACATATGTATGTAAGTTCGTGTCACCTACATAAAATTATTAATTAAATTTTATCGTGGGTATGGTATGGGTGGTGAGGCATACCTACCCCCTGAAGCGGATACATATTTAAACAATCGCCGCATTACAATTTATTTATGCCGACTAGTTCGTATCAAAATATCAAAATTCCTTAATCCAGCCATTCAGATTTTCCAGAAATATACCAAAACTTCCTTCAACTCACCCATCGCCATGTATTCTACTCATGTCATTTCCCTACTAATTCAACATCTCAAGCTTTCCCGACTCATAGGAAGCGTTCCTTTCGAATTTGACCCTAATTCTGGGAAAATCATCCTCATGAAATCCCGTAAGGGGAGACTGATAGTACAACTACAGTCCATTATGACACTGACGTACGTTCTGGGCATGGTCTATAACGTATTTCTCGGTGAATTACCCGTACTAAAAAAGTTGCAAGGATTTCCATTTATAATAGCGTACGGGTTGCTAGCCCCTGGGATGGAATGCGGGACTCGACATCGCTCCGGTTCAAGCGGTCAATGCAGTTCTCGCCTTTGAACGTGATCTTCTTAAGGGTACATATGTATGCCTGCGATTTTTAATGACGTTTTTGCCTAAATAAATGTATACCTAAATAGGTGGGGAAACTATGGAAATGTCGTTTATCGCAAAGGCCATGTATTGTTTTCTGTACGTCGCAGAACTAACCGTTGTCGCGTTCCCGGTTGGGGTCTTCCTGCTACTAATGGACGACCCTTGCACACCGCCATTCCTTTTGTCTGCCTACCAAAGCTGCAGCAACATCGCGATAGGACCAAGAGTCTTTCTGGTTTTGTTCGAAGCATGGATTTCGCTGCAGCTGGCAAATTCAGGAACGACATGGGCAGTTTACATCCTTTTTGCAGGAATTCTTGCAATTCTCAACTACTTGGATGTACTGAGAAGGTAATTGTGCCTGTTAATCAGTTAACTTTTGTTGGCTATAAGAATACTTTAGAAGAGTATGTGGATTTTTGCACCGACTAAAAATATTTTCGTACATATTACATGTGCAAATTGTAAATAAATTAATGGCGAAAATATGTAATCAAAGCTAATTTTATAAAAGATGGATTGCAAGTTCTAAATCAATTTTGGAAAATCGCGCGTGTCTCAAACTCTACCGGAGTATTCAGATCTTGGACCAGTATATGAACGGATTTCTCACGGTGCGCGTGGTACCGTCGATGATCGTTGGTACTCCAATGCTGGAAATTATCTCCCAGTGCGTCTGTGTCAAGCTGTATTCCAAGATAGAGATGCTTGGATTTCTCATATTTCCCCTCATCCTGCTTGAGGCTATAATCGTGAACGTGATGGTCTACACTCTAGCCTCCTGGGTTAACAGTAAATCGACAAAGCTGCTTCGAATGCATGTCAGGCGTACGGTAGAGTTTGGCGGGAAGAAGTCCGTGCTTGCACGAGAAATCAAGTCATGTGGCGTGCTAAAAATAAAATTTGGCTCAAATTTCATCGATAGCGGAACTCCGTTAGTTATTCAAAATTTATGTCTGCATCAAACTGCTAATCTCCTACTTATCAGTGACCGATGAGGCGATGACATTGCCAAATTGATTCATCAAAATCACATGATTTTACTTTTTCAACAGCAATAACTTTCAAAATCCTTGGTAGATTTTCAAATCTTGTGGATTACGATGATCCCAAAGTCAAATATTTGAATTTAAAAATACATTGGCACGCCATTAAAGTGTAGATGATAGTTAATATATGTCTTGTATAAGTTGCCTCGTTCAATAACAATTAGTTCTTGAAGGAACCACGATAAAATTATTCTGTAATTAACGTATTTAGCATTTCTTACTCAAAGATCTGCCGTGTCCCACCAACCTCAAATTTCTATCGCAATATTGCAAAGTTTCAAAATTATGTGTACAAGTGATATCAATAAATAAGTTTGTGCCACGTGATATAATAAATCAATATGTACATAAAGTTGGACCGGGTACTCAATTACTTAGGACTAATAATAGATAATAATTGATAATATACTTTGCGTCTATTATCAACTATCTGCTTGCATATGTGTCACCATGTTGAAACATATTTCCGTTACTTATGCAATGTTTTATTGAGAAATGACCTACCCCAGGGCAAATCCCGTTGCCAATATTTGGATGCAACAAGTTACATATTTCCTCCCTAAAGGACTACATTTTTAGAAATTCTGATTTTCCTAAAGGTAATGACTTATAGTTAGAGGTGCTAATGCTATGTATGTGTAAGTATGGTTGCAACTTGAATTTTGGTTCGAAATATTTTTAAAACTAGGTGTTTTCAATAATTTCTTGTTGTGCATAATTCCACTTGTTTGCAAACACTGCGTAAATTTGTGTCCTCATAATTGAATCTTTATTCTTTTTAATTGATTTTGTTACCGCAATGTGGCAGAATTTTTGTAGGAAAATTAAAAACGAATTATACCCAGTAGTAGGATAAATAACGGAGCAATGTCCAACCTACGAGTAAAACTACAGGAGGCTGTGGTTTCTGTTGGCGCCGCGGTGGTAGTATTTTGTACAAGGGTAGAAGTTCTAACAGTCGTTGATGATAATGTGCTCGTGGGAGGTATAGTCATTGCTGTGGAGTGGCTCGGTGTTGTCTCATTTTGCATGGTCACAGTACTTGGTGTAATATGTGTAGTTGGAACTGTAGTCGTGGTTGTTGTAGTTGTCGTAGTTCGTATATTTGTCGTGGTTGGTGTAGTTGTCGTAGTTGGCGTAGTTGGTGTAGTTGTCGTAGTTGGTGTAGTTGTTCTAGTTGGTGTAGTTATCGTAGTTCGTATATTTGTCGTGGTTGGTGTAGTTGTCGTAGTTGTCGTAGTTGGCTCACAATCATTGCACCCATATCGCACCCATCCCACTTGAACATCAGCAGCCAAACTGTACGTAAAGCCCCACCCACGCTGGATTACTTCCTCCGTGGCATTTAGACACTCCCCATTGACGTCATTTTCTGAACTCTTGTGCCCCCAGGAGTTTGGCCCAGTGAAGAAGTAGGACCCGACCTGTCGACCAGTGTCGTTGAAAATTTCACTCGAATTAACAGAGAAAACTTCCCCCTCGAAACTGCCCCGCTCGAAGAAAGTAATCTTCTCCTCCATTTGATTCATATCACCATAGCGCATGACATGCATCCAGGTCTTGTGTGTTCCGATCGGTTTAGAATCACAGCTGTCGTTTGTACCATGAATTATGTATGGCGCGTCATCACAGTTGGACATGTTGTGGCACTGAAAGACTTTCCATCTACAATTAAAAGAAGGTAATAACAACGAAAATATTCAACAATAGAACCAAACGCTGAATAATAATCGATCAAGGAATAGTTATTCGCTCAAGCTGCATTAATTGTGCAGTTATTTACCAATATACATTTATTTGCCAGATGGATACACATATTTATGATATTCCTCCAATATGTGTTTTTCTACCAAATTTTAAACAAAGTCGAAAAATTTCAGAAAAAAATTGTCATTCATTAATCAAAATCGAGGTCAATTATACCTTAATTCCCACCCATAGTTAGGGTGAGATTTAGTTTTTGAATATTCGATTCGATTTATTGAAGTATTTATTGGCTTCCTATAATTCTCGTCACCCTCAGCGATTGAAGGTGAATAAATTATGATCACATATTTACGCACTTATGTGTGTATATTATGAGATAGTTAATTATGTATAATTCGCATATTTAACTTACAGTCCGTTAACTTGGTACGAAATTGTTGTCGACTCCGCGACAATGGGAATGTTTATAGCGTCAATTGAAGTATTAGCGAATGGATCGCCGGTACAGGTCGAGCCGTCCCAAAATGTTAGAAATTGAACTTGTTGCTGACATGACAAAGATTGAATCGTAGAGAGCAAGATTATAGAAATGGAGGACGCTACAGAAAACAAGTAGGTTGAAGTTGACGGCATTTTTAAAGCAGATAAAATTGGTTGTACGGTATTATTCCTCCTAATTTGAAGATGAACTGGACAGAAATCAAGGCAAATGTGGTGTATTATTAGGCAACAAAATTGTTTGATGTGTGGTATGATAAATATGTACGTATTTAGGTATGATTCGTCCTCATCGCATAATTTTTGTCCCACATAGTTAACCCGGTTTTCATCTTGTTGGACATTTTGGGTGATAAGATTATCAGGGATACTTGTACTGTGAAGGGCAACAACATTCCACAGATTTTTTAATTAATTGATATCTACTAATGTCAATTATCTGCATGCGACACTGTTGTTACTGTCAATTTGCATCAATTTTACATTATGCGTGAAGAAATAATCGTACAGACGCAAACCTCCTTGTCAAATTTTAGGTGCAAAAATACAAAAATGTGTTAATAAGTCGGTTAGCATCGTTCATCGTTCATACAGACAAAATTAATCGAAGGATGCCTAATAATTAGTGTTCCAAATGGGTATGTGTACGTACATAAATTCGTTTCGTCAGGATAAATTAGCTCATAAATTGACATTATCCTGAAAACTATAGTTTTAGTATTTATAAATACTAACAAGGGACCCTTCCAATGGTGTCCAACGAGTTAAGGGTCGACACCTATACCAAAATTTGCACAATACATGACTTCCATCGTGAACTGAAAGAATTTCCGTGTAAAATTCACTTTTGCTCAAGTTGTGACGATGTTTGTGACGAGCGCGTGACCATCGAGCGCAATGAGTTTCCAGTGGGGGGACTCCGCTCATCCTCTCCGTTTGTTGACTTTGACTTGTTGATAAAAAACTCCAAAGCCAGATTTTTTTAATTTCTAAAAATTCTCAAATTTTGAAATTTCTATGAAACTTGAATCTTTTGAAATTTTTTTGAAATTTTGAAAATTTTTTGAAATTTTGAAATTTTTTTGAAATTTTGAATTTTTTTTAAATGTTGAAAAATTTGCGAGACAGAAAAAAATGAATGCAATTTCGATAAAATTGAAAAACAATGGCATTTTTTTAGAAAAATAAAAAAAGAACGATATCAAAATGTTGGTTGATTTTGGACATGGATTTTTCATGGACAAGGTCATGGTAAACAAAGGGAGAGGACGAGCGGAGTCCAACTCCCCCCACTGGAAACTTATTGCGCTCGATGGTCACGCGCTCGTCACAAATATCGTCACAACTTGACCAAAAGTGAATTTTACACGGAAATTCTTTCAGTTCACGATAAAAGTCATGTATTGTGCACATTTTGGTATAGGTGTCGACCCTTAACTCGTTGGACACCTCGGTAGTTTTCCTTGTAAGTCGATTTTGACCACCAAAATCTTATTTAGTAATCAATTTCAGTACTCTTTGGTAGAGAGTTTTTACGCAGGTATTTTAATTTTTACACATTGATATAGAAAATCCAAGAAATGCTTAAAATTAAATTTATCGTGGACAAGATACTGAACGAAGATCCTACCGCCAAACTGCACCTCACAACGTTTGGGGATTATCCCACTGTACAAAATCACAATGTGAATGCCACCTATTGCTATCGATACGAATTAACGACCTCAAATAAAGACACATTCCTAGCGGCAGTCCAGAACGTGGACAGCACATATGTATGGGGGCAAGGACGACTACGAGTCCAGCCTTACGGCTTTACTTTACACTGCCGTGGAGCCCAGGATCAAATGGTCTAGTGACTCCATGGGCCTCCTGAAAATCATTGCAGTGGCGTCTGACGCATTTTGGAAGGATTACAGCCGTCCACCAAACCCTGCCGGGCCAGAGTTTAGTTACCCGGAAATGCCCGCCGATGGGAGAGGGAGTTGCTTCAATCGCCCCCAGGGGCTGAAAACGTGCAAGTTAAATTGCAGAAAGAAAATTTTTACCTGTTTCCTATAATATATGGGGCAAATAGCAGCCTCGATTGGAAAAGTTCGCAATCTGATAGCGCCATGGAAGGAAGGTTCGTAATGGAAGAAGAGCCACCAGAATGGGATAGTTTCCACGAGGTTTCAGATGCCATTGACAGGTGGGCAACGTGGAAATGTACTAGTTGATTTATTCGACAGGAGTGACTGTTATGTAAACATGTTTATGTACAAGTTCATATGTAGTACATTATTATAGGTGAGAACGTAATAAATTACAAAAACATAAGGGTTTGACCCAACCCAAGGCATTCATGTCATCAAAGCCTTATCGAAGAAATTTGCATATATAAATATATTTATGTCAGCACCATACTATTTAGTGGCAAGTAGCAGCGTTAAAGTATTGTCTGTCACGCTTGATAAATAATTTAGGAAGAAATTCATCTCTACACCATTTCTCAATGTGTCTGCAGACCTATTGAATTCTAAATTTATAGAATTTGGTAACAAAGATGCTAACACTTTTCTCGCATATTTGTTCTCCCCATTTAATCTTTTAGATCTTTGAATAAACAGCTGTGACCCAGCCCCAGCTCGCGCTATTAGACAAATCGCAAAGAATTCGATCATCACACAAATCCCTAGAACACTAACGCACAGTCCTATCATTACTGGGGATACGGTTGAATTTTGCGGCATAAACTGCAAAATTACATGGTACAGAGCTAAAGTCGAAATGAACACGGCGTACACATAGTGCATGCAAGGATTAATAAACTCACGTGCCAAGTCTGACACGATTAAGGTCATGACCTTAAGTGACCGGTAAATTTTTAATGAGCTGAACAATTGTAATCATGCCCGAGGTTTCATCATGGATGGATTTCGGCAATAAATTGGGATCAAAAATAACGTCCAAACGTACAGACAGCTGATCCCGTAGCAGATGAAGAGTATGCAAATCGAAATAGTGGAAAGTATCCCGGTTCCCGCTACGCACGTTGCCACGGCAGTTACGATCAATACTGCGAAGGATACATGTGGACCGACAGATTCGAAGTTGTAAATGGCGCGAAGCAAGGTGTACAGTGGGGAAGATTGAGACAGACCGACAATTAGGAACATGGAGGGTAAGATGTAGTCGATGCCATGGAAAAATATCTGGAAAAAATGAAACTTTTTTATGAGTAATTTTTCCAAGTATGGGAATTAGATGCAATCTTTGACATAACAAATTAGTTGAAAATATGTCACCTTTGGAAATAGCGTGACCATGGCGACAGCTCGATCGACAGAGGTGCCCCGATCGTAGTACAATTCTGGGATGAATTCTGAGCACAAACTTTTCATCAAAATTTTATAAACACAAACGATAATAAATTATATGTATGTATTTAAGTTACGCTTAATGTCTCGTTCCAGTTTTAAAATTGCTTCGTAGCAATTTACAAATGCCTTCGGACCAGATTCGCACATAACGACTTGAGCGTATTGGATAAACATTATCATCAAAAAGGTGGCAAAGAATGTGTAGTTGATCGTCATTTTGGATTCGACGGGTGGAACTGTCACGTAAAGTTGGTAACATCGGAGGAGTAAAATTGGTAAAAGAAACACCATTGAGATAACACAGGCAAGTTGGAAAAACCGATAGTTCAAATTCCCCCGTAATGGGATGGCACGCCCCATTTTGTCATCCCAGTCAAGGAAATATGCAACGTAAAATCCACCCCGCTTATTCGCGATAATGCCGCGACGTAAATGTTCGCCAAAAATTTCTAGTAGCATTTTTGGGTTTTCATAAATTTGTATGTAGAGTAAAATGGAGAAAAGTTGATAAATATGTTGTTAACTGTTGTAGCTATTTTTGCGAGTGATCCAGGTCACGTAGAAAAAATAAGCCAAGAAAATTTAACAAGTAGACAACCCATTCGGAGTTTGAATTTAATATACTTTGACATTTCGGTCAGACCGATGAGAAGTTTTATTAGATTATCGAATTAAGCAGGTACATTTGTGAAGTATGTACTGGAACTTTAACATGGCATCAGTGAATATGTCAAGTTTTACATGATGGCAATCGTGGGTATGGTCGACTATCATGTGAAAAGAATGTACACTCAAAATAAAATTTAGATAAATCATCACCGTGCGGAGTACGGTGATAATTTATCTAAATACGGCTCTACCGCGTTGGTAACGATTTATCACCATATGGATGACCATGACTTCTGCGAAATTCAAACTTGTTACCAGAGGGTTAAGAATTGCAAACAATGTGGTATCAAGTTTGAATTTCGCAGAATTTGTTGTCACCCAGACGGTGATAAATCAACGCGGAACAGCCGTATAGTGACTCCGCACGGTGATGATTTATCTAAATTTTATTTTGCGTGTAATATTGTTTGTCATTTTACCTTGGAAGTTTTACAGTCAAATACAACTTATACATAAGTCAGAAGGGAGTACTACTTTGTGAGGCATATGTACATATTGTTGAACGTCCCCTCGCATTTAAATTGGAATTCTAGAAGGGAGTGGAATAATTCGCGTTGTCCATTCAACGACACATTGTAGAAGTTGGATGTTAAATTTTTTGCCAACGGACCGTTCAAGTATAATTTTCACGTTTGATTTTTCGACATCCATAGGTCAAAAAGCATTATTACAGGATATACATATTTATGTAACTTATGCACATCGAGCACATGGATTTTGCATGCCACTTGAATTGTTCCTCTTTATAGAAAGGATTCATGACTTGGTTAATTTAATTTCGCCAGTTTAATTTGATGATGGGTATGAATACCATAGCTTTTTCACTAAATATTAAGGTTTGAGAGGTATTTATGATAATACATTATGCTGTTAATGATTTATTATCCTTTTACCTAATACATAAGTCTACATACTAGTAAACAATTGTGCGAATTATCAATTTGCATACGGAATTTATATATAAATTCCTAATTTACTTATGTATGTATACATACATAAGTAAATTCCCATGGAATTTTTTTTAGGCTTTTAATCATTTTCCAAAAAGCTTGATCAGCAAGCTTTACATATTATGTACATAATAATAATAATTGATTTATTGCATCGTAACCCACAGCCTTTGTACATTCATAATTGT